TTTGGTTACAACGATAACTCTTTTCCACCTGATCATTCCGTACATTACCTCACGGACTACCGCTTTAGTCTACCTCGCCTTAGCACGGACCGAGCCTAGAGGAGTATAGCCTAACCCCGTGTAACATATAAGTGCTTATTACTAAGTAATATAGTGTTATGTTTAGTTATTAGCTAACTAGTCCTGCTTACTGCTAAGCACCTGTTCTTAGTCTAGCGTGTACTTGCTTACTACTAAGCAGTTACGTAACTACAGCGTAGTTGCTGTGCTGTAATCCTTTAACTGTGCTACTTAATCCTCTAAAGTAATTACGCTTACCCCTGTCTCCCCCTAGGTGCAGATTGTAACAGTATACTAAGAAATAAAAAAGTTAAAATAATAGTAAAGAAACTAAATAACTTAGATTTTTAAAACTTTTTTTTTTTAGCTAAACTTAAAGTAAAGTATTATATTTTTTTTTATAAGTAGTAAATATTACTTAGTAAGTATATTAATATACTTTATAAGCTTAGCTTTATATTATAAATAAAAAAAAAAGTTATATAAGCTATATAGCTTATAATTACTATATTATTATTCTATTAGTATAATATAATTAACTCTAAATATTTTTATAATCTAGTAATATAAAAAATTATTTTTAGTTTTATATAATTCTAAATATTTAATTACTTCTTAAATTAGTTATATAGTTATTAAGTTATAATATATTAAAGTTTTATCATTTTTTAGTAGAGGTAGTTTAACTAGCGACGTAGTTTAACTAGCGCACGGCTATTGTAGTCAGACATAGCGCATCCGACTTGCATTCACAGCTCCTCTTTGATGCTAGAGATTGCAGTGCGCGCCTGTTCAGCACAGCGTTATTCCATTCCTTGACCGGACTGACAAGGGTCCCTCCTGTATCACTCTTACCTTGGTGCAAGTCATTGGTCCATATCCTTAGACCTACGCCGACACTTCTACGCTAAAGATTGCAGTGCAAAGTCGTTAGCGCGATACTGCTTAGCCGTCCAGTCTCATCATGCGCATAGCCTTAGCCCTCTCTTCTACGCTAGAAATTGCAGTGCAACGCGGCACACTGTTTGGGTCTACCGGTAAGGCCTGTGCGACCTTAACTGACCGGAATAACTAGGATTCCTCATGTGCCACTCTTACTTTGGTGGAAATGATTGGTCGATGCCGTTGTACCTACGTCTGCTCTTCTACGCTAAAGATTGCAGTGCAATAGGAGCCGCACGACCCTGACTAATCTGACCTCTTGCTTGTAAAAATCTCAATCCCACTCCGGCCTACACCGACACCCCCTCCCCCTAACATGCAACACCCCCCTCCTCCCCGCCTCCACCATCCACCCCACCCACTCAATCTCATGTTCCACCACCCCCTTCCATTCCCCCGTCGCCACTCTCTCCTCTCTACTCCCCACCAGCCACCTCTCCAATCTCTCCGCACAAGGCAGTAAAGCCTTCATGACGCCATCTTCCGTGGCGTCTGGTTTCCTCTGCTCAAGATAAAGCATACGTTCGAGACGGGTGAGAAGGGAGAGTTGAATGGAGGCAGATTCGGTGTATCTAGAGAGGAGAGCCTGGGCGCGGGCTTTGAGTTGGATTGTGTCTTCTCGACTTGCGTGTGTACACGAAAGGTGTCGTTGCGGGCGCGCAAGGTGGAAGGAACCTACGTCGCGAAGGACGACGAGGTCGTCGAAAGATGGCGCGTTGGTTGTTGATGAACTGAAGCTTTGGCGGGGCGTTGGCTGTTGTGTCGGCTGTGAGTATTGCACAACATGTTGCATTTCATGTATCCGTGAAACCTCCTCTCCACTGTCCCAATTCAGATACTCGGTATTGCTAAATGACGTTGGCGTAGTCGGCGTATTTGGCTCCGTCTCGTGCCCCTGTTCTTCTGCACCTTCTGGATCCCACTCACACTCCGTATCCGGGTAGTCATCGGAATCATACATGAAGGTTTCCGAGTAGCTGAAGCCATAGCCTTCCTTCTTCTTCTGCCCCGGTTTGGTCAACACGGGAGCTTTGACCTCCTCCTCTTCGTAGATGGACCTTTGCGACGACACATACTGTACCGGAGACGCCTTTTCAGTCGAGTGAGAACTTGGACTTGAACTGGAGAAGGATTGGGTGGGCTTGGGGGCCATGGAGAGGCCGGAGAAGGATTGGTTGAAGCGAGCCTCGTTCTCGGAATGGAGTTGTCGCTCCACATCATCAATGAACGATTGGGAGAAGGAGAAGCGAAGTTGAATGTTTTGAGATTGCGATGGCTGATGCGACGCACTTCTTTGGACATCACGTGTTGGATTCATGTTGGACTCTGGTAGCACGACTGATGCAGCTCTTTGTTGCATGTTGCCAGTGTTGTTGTGTTGCTATAGCCAGGTCAGTCAACTTGGTTCCGTACCATGGAAGGAATGGTACGTACGGGGCCTCGCCATCTTGGTGGTCGCTTGCTCTTCCCTTCGCTTGCGCGACGCTCTTGCAGTTTGGTAGGTTCAGGTGCTGCTAGAAGAGGAAGTGGGTCGATGCTTCGACGCAGAGTAATTTGTCGCTGCTTTGTTGGACCTTCTCTTCGCTGACTACGATTAGATTCGTGATTGTTGGTATTGCGCGCCGACTTACCTTCACAGGCATGGTTTGGATGTGCATGCGCGACTTCGTGTCGGCTGTTTGCTATACGAGATGGTAGTCGCGTGTGTCTTCCTCAAGCGGCGGGCCTCGCGTGTCTTTAAGTGTGAGTATGGCAAAGTAAGAGTGTTGTGTTGATTGTTGATGTGGCGTGCGCCGTGTATACATCCTAGAGTACGCCGATCCGAAGGCGCGTTCGGGTCGCGTGAATGTTGACTAGCGTGGTTAGCGCAAAACACGACTCTCGTCCTATCACCACGGTGATTCTCAGAGTCTTGATACACTCTGCCCCACTCTTGTGTAGTACAACATCACAGCTGCGATTCTCCAATGGTGCGGATGAAGCCTTGTCAAACTGCTTTTGCGCGTGCGAATGCGGCGGTTTCTGAAGACTCTCTCGTCGCTCTTTTGCCACAACATGCAATGGCCGTGCTACTTCCCTCCAGTCTTGACACTCAATCACCCCGCACTATCGTAGTACAACATCACGTTTTCGATCGTTGGTCGGCGGCGATTCAAATCTTGTCGCATTGCTTCTGCGCATCGTATGGTATCATTTTGCCAACACTCCTGCATGCATCTTCTGCCACAACTCATGTGGGTAGCGCTACTTCTTGCCCGTCTCTAGCAACTCCACGCCTGTCCTTACAACGCCAATCGCTGCGCCTGTCTGGATGGCTTCGCTTCCGCCTCCACTCAACCTGTACTCTATATCTGCCAGGCCTGCCATCCACGTCACCATGACCTGGGGTGGAACGTCGTTACTGACCAGCTCCTCACTAATAGCCGTCAGGATATCTGCCAACGCAAGTCCCTTCATGATCTTCAGGTTGTTGACCGTCCTCAAACACTCCGTCATATCGTTCTTCGATAGCAACGTCTCGATGATGTACTTGATGTCTGAGGGGTGCGGGGCTGCTATGCAGTCGTAGATGGTAGTCTGCGTGATCTGATCGCGTACGATAGTGCTCGGGTCGGATGCAGGCTTGCCCGGTGTTTGAAGCGGCGTGCTCGATGCGTGGCACGCCTGCAGTACATTTAGCGCGCGCCTCATGTCTCCTTTGCTGAGCGTGACAAGCGAGTCGGTGGCATCTTGTGTGACGTTGACCTTCTCCTCCTCGATGACTTTGTCAACTAAATTCCTAATGTCCTGATCCTTGAGCGGAGAAAACCTGAACCTCGTGCACCGCGACAACAGCGCAGGAGAAAGTTTGTGTGTGTAGTTTGCGATGATACAGAAGCGTGTGTTGGCGGTGTACTTCTCCATGATGCGTCGCAGGGCCATCTGGGCGGTCGCAGTCATGGCATCTGCCTCGTCCAGGATGATGAGCTTGAATGTCGCAAGCGATGAGTCTCCTGCTTTAGGCGCCGCAGCGAAGATCTGCTTTGTGCTACTGAATGTTTTGATCTGCTCTCGCACGACGTCGATACCTCTGTCATCTGAAGCGTTGAGTTCTAAGACCATTTGTCGCATGTTCTTGTTCCCGTATATGCGACGTGCGAGTGCGAGGACGGTCGACGTCTTTCCGGTACCTGGTGGGCCATATAGGAGGAGGTGAGGCAGTCGCTGTAGAATTTAGCGGAGTTTCGTGAAAAGAGAAGCAGATCGTACATTTGAGTCTACGAATTTGTTGATAGTAGCTATTATATCCTTGTGGCCTTCGACGTCATCTAGAGAGTTTGGCCTATATTTCTCTACCCTGTGCATGGTCAGCAGCTGTCTGGAAAGTAGATCCTTCTGGAGTCTCACCATGGCAAAGAGTCCTCAGCCTCAACAGGCAGGTTTGCAGCGCTCCTCTTGCCTTTCTTCTGGTCTCCGCCAAATGTGATAGAGTTGTCTACGGCGGGCGCATCCACGTCCATCTCATCTTCGAAGTCGGACATTGCGATGGCTGAACTGGTGCTGCCGGCTGCTTTATTGGATATTGAGGTCGGATTGGGGGAGTACAACTGGCGGATTGGCGGTATGTAGTCTGCTAGCAAGAAAGTTGGGGAGACGCGCCGCGCGCAGAGACGCGTTGATTGGCCGCTTAGTCACCCCCGCCTGGTCAGCCCTATGAGCACACCTCACCAAGCGGAGCTGCCCCGTCACCTCCGCCGAGCTCCAAGACAACAAGAACACCGCCAGACACAACACCACATTGGCAACATCACCCACCATGCCCGTAAGTTACAGACACATAATCAATACATACGCTTCCAAGTATGCATTCGAGGAGATCAGGCAGCTAACACCTCCCAGGCTTACCACTCTGTCTTCCTCGATGAGCCCAATCAGCAATTGATTGGTACAGCTGCCCCCTCAAGCTTCGCCATGTACAGCACAAACTGACGGCCCGCCAGGCAACTTCGCCCTCCTCCCACTCCGCACACGAACCCGTGGCCCTGCCATCCAACTGCCAGCCCTGCCCGCCGACGTCACAGAGCTTACCATCGATGCCTCACACGACTCATACGACCCTCTAGACGAGATCCTCGCCCTCTTCCGCGCCAACACATTCTTCCGCAACTTTGAAATCAAGGGACCGGCCGATCGCGTACTCATCTATGGCATCCTGTACGTCAGCGAGGTATTGGGCAAGATCAAGCCGGGCATGAGCCGGAGAGAAGCTGAAAAGGTATGGTATCCTTGAGAAGTCTTGTCAGGAAGGCAGGACGGAAGCTGATCATGCGGACAGGCTGTCATGAACATTGCGCTCGACACCAACTTTGCGATTCCAGGCGACGCTGGATTCCCGCTGAACCAGGCTTTCGAGGCCCCCGCGGACAGGAACGGAGCAGAGGTGCTGCGACAGTACATTATGCAGATGCGACAAGAGCTGGCTACACGGTTACTCAACAGGGTGTACGCGGACGAGACCAACACACCGAGCAAGTGGTGGCTGAGCTACACCAAGAGGAAGTTCATGGGCAAGGCTTTGTAAAAGGGTAGTTGACTAGGTCGCAGCATGAGCCGGAAGATATGTAAAAGCTCATGAGGATTTTTCAAGTCAACAGCAATGGTCCAGTTTGCGACAATGGTCCAGTATTCCCGTCTTATTCGTTCCAAAGCCTCTTTCTAGTCAAAAGTGTCCTAACCGTATTTCGACGTCTCGTGATACCGCACCAATTTCCAGGGTCTAGCCACGCACTGACGTCATGAGCTGTTGTTCTGCACCACCCGCGTTTGGGCGGACAGGTAGGCGCAAACGGAGAGTTTCTATTTGCTTGGTTGCTCTAGCTCATGCTACGGCTTTCACATCAAAACCACAACAACCCGACTCTTGATCTCTAATTCTTTTGCTGTCGGCGCGTTTAATTCGGCGGTTCCATTACGCGGCTTTTCATACCATCGCTTTGCATGTCCCAGGTGCTTTCGCTTCTTATTAGCAGTCTAGCCGGACCGACAGATCAGATACCGACGATGCAGGGTACGCCAAGATCGATATGGGATTACGGCTAATCCAAAGGCTCACATGTACATAGGTAGTCGAGAAGATGATGATTGGTGCGACGTCTCGGACGAGGCCATACCCAAGGAGGATTCCAAACCGGCTGTCGACCCACAAGACATTGAGGGCGCATCTGACGACAAAGAAGTCGGGAAAGATACATCCAGTACGTCCGATTCTCCAAACACATGAGAACCAAAAGAGCCACGCTATGCGACTGGAGACGCCCACTAACCGCACAGTGCCCACCCTCTTCAGCACCGCTCTACCCCCCTGTGGCCTCCTCCCCCAACTCGCCTACGACAACATAGTCCACCGCCTCCGCGCCCTTTGGCTTTCACGCTCTCAAAATCCCTCCGCCAACCTCTCCGTCACCAGCCTCTGCCGCGTAATCCTAGCGGACCTCAAGACCGAAGAAGATCAACCCATTTCGCAAGCCCTTAACCCCTGGCGCCGCTCCTCCGTCTTCGCATACGAAGTCCGCTGGGCGCGGTATTTTGTCCGAGAAGCGGAAACCATGGATAAGCGACCGACGATGACGGAGAAGCAAGCTGATAAACAGGATTTCATGGATCGCATGTAAGTTTATATCTTACTGTTCCGGTGTGGATTTTTCGCGCACACGTGAGACATGGGAAATTGACTCTTTTTTTGCGCTAATGCGCTCCTAGGTATCCTATTCCCAAGGAATTAAAGATTGTGGTGGCGAATAGGAAGAATCAGAAGCAAGTGCTGGATCTATGGAAGGAGTGGCATCATGGGAAGAGAGGTACGGTGGAGACGGAGGATCCTGGGCTTGGTGTTGGTGGGGCGAGGGAGGAGGAGGTGGGTGTAGATGGTGTGAAGAAGATGGATGGTGGTGGTGAAGAGGGAGAAGCTGGGAGTGAGGGGAATGAGGATGTGGAAAGGACCTCCGAGGAGATCATGGAGGAGGCACAGAAATAGTTACGAAGGGTGGATCAGGAGTTCTGTGTCTTTCTTATCATGCATCGCTAGAAGTCGGGGGGTGGAGTTGTCGAAGACGCCGGAGAAATGGTTTACTTTCGAGAGGTTTTGGTAGATCTGTTTCTTAGTTCTCCTATCTCAAGTTGGCGGGAAGGTTTCTATTCTATTTTTTCATATGCATTCGATACCCCAGCTCCCCATCCAGTGCATTCATGCTCTCATCCCACGCCAACGACCGTGGAGATGTGCTACGTGAATCTGGACAAGACAGGATCTTTTCACTTCTCGCTCCTTCATGTCTTACAATTTATGTCTTCATCTTTGTTCGTCACCCATCGCCTTGATGTGGGGCCGGGATGAGGGTGAGAGCAGGATGCCAATCTCCTGGTTGGGTGACGGACTCACCTTCACTTGGGCTCACCAGCCTGCTCTCATCCTCCTCGCTCCTTAGTGAGGGTATAAAACCAGGTCATTCTCACAACCTCCCCAGCTTTCCTTCTACATCCCAACACCTACCAACAACTGCCTGGCGTCACCTTTCATCAACCTTTTTCTGTCCTGCCTCACAGCATCCTGAACTGCTCTACAAAACACAACAACAGATTGTAAGTCCAGAATGCTTGCTCAACCATCTGTATGCTGATAGTCTGGTAGATATTCTGCCTTGTCTCCACGATGCCAATCAAGTGGACCTCGGAGTTGGATGCCATCGTGAGTGCACTTCCAGCCCCCCCGCAATCGCATCGGTGATGTCGCTGTCGCTGACCTAATTTGCAGCTTCTCCACGGCGTCTTTGAAAAATGCAACATCTCCTTCAACAAGAGCCTTTGTACCAAGATCGCTGAGCGCGTTTCTGCCGCTGGCATGGGTATGTGCATCCCTCACTGATCCGATCCCACTCCCGCCTCCAGCATCGCATCCAGCCCCACATCCTCAATATTCCTCTCTACTGCTGCTGCTGCTCTCGCCATTTAGTAAACTAACACACCCACCTAGAATGCACAGCCAAAGCTGTCGAGAACCGCTTGTACTCGTGGAAGAAGAAGAATGTCTCCGGCCAGACCAACCTCAATTCCGCCACCAACACGCCGTCCAAGTCCTCCGCTGCGAATACTCCAAAGTCTACTCCCCGTCCCCGTACTAAGACGACTCCTCGTAAGAAGAAGCAAGTTTCCGAGGAGGTTGACAGCGATGGCCCTTCCGGTCTCATCGATGAAGATGAGGTTCTGAGTCCGACTGCCGCGAGGGGCAAACGCGGTATGAGCGGTGGTGTAAAGAGGAAGGTGGAGTACAAGGAGAGTGATGCCGAGGAAGAGGGAGGGGTGGAGGAAGATTATGTTCCCATGGCGAAGAGGGTCAAGGCTGAGCCGGTTGAAAACGACAAGATCTTCTGCGATGACTTGGTTGAAGACGAGGTCTGAGGAGTTTGCTAGGTGCATATGTCAGTGGTGGGACGTGGATGATGCTGAGTGCTCGGTTCGATGAGCGCGTCCAAGAACGAGATTTATTGTTTGCTGTTTGACGCAGAGTAGCGGCGAGGCTTTGAGTGTTCTGAATGGTGCATGCCTTGAAGATAACCATATCTAGAGTCTGAGCTCGGATCCTTTACAAAGAACAATTCTACGCTGCTGCGAGTATTCAATCAGTCTCGTAATTAGTACTTGTACTCAAGATGCACACATTAATGATCAGCGTAAGCCCAAAGACACTGCATTAAATTTCACAGCTATTATCACGGCCGAGGTCACCTTGAGTGACAGCTTACTGTGGCCAGGTAACTGAATCCCACTCCTTAGCATCCTTCCTGATCCTAGCATCCACTGTATCTGTTCCAGCACCGACATATAGAACCTTCGAGTACACAGACTCGCCCCAGAAACTGAAGGTAGTATTGGCAGGGATGAAAACAACATCTCCAACAGAGAGTGTGGTAGTGCCTTCGAAACCACCAACGTCAACGCTGACTAGACCGTCAACGACTTCAAGCGCAGTATGGCCGGGCAGCGAATATGTAGCAGGCTCAGCTCCTGTGGCAGGTTTCGACAAAGTCATGGTGCCTTCGGTGAAGTTGCCGTCAGACTGCTGGCTCGTGATAAAAGGCTCGACAATGGTGTATGAGGAATCTTTGTCGCCAGCGAGATACTTTGGTCCGTAACCCTTGGCGATGAAAAAGGGTGTCTTAGAATCACTACCGAGCTCATTGCTGCCGCTGTGCCAGATTGCATCCTCCTCAGTAGCACCGTTTGCGCCAAAGTCCATCGGTGGGCTGAAAGTCAGCTCTGCGTAAACATCGTAGCCCTCGAGTGTGGTGATTAGGCTGGAGTCGCCTCCGGGATCGGAGAAATTTCCTTGTGGGAAGGGCGAGTTGGTGCTGGAAGTGTAGTTGTCGCTCGCGAGGAAGTAGAAGAGGTCTTCGAAACCACCAGGCTGGATCACGCCGACAAGCTCGACAAATGGATCAAGCAGCTGGAAAGTGTGGGTTGTATCATGAGGAACGGCACCGTAGTCACCCGGTGTCAGGATCCTTCCTGATGTGGCGTTGTCTTTGCTCGTCCAGAGAGCGTACCGTCCCTTGAGGCAGTAGAAGTTCTCGTAGTGGATCGCGTGAGTCTTGATCTGTTAGCATTTGACTATACCTTGCCATTTCATAGAGACATACATGAGGCAGTACACCAAGGCTTGTACTGGCCGGGGCAGCAGTGCTGATAAGTGTGAAGGCGTAGTCCGAAGAAGGACCGGTAACCGGGAAGCGGTAGACTTGAGACCCGACTCGAACTCCGTCTAGGGAGTATGCACGCACGACATAGGGGCGCACATAGTCGGGAACCTTAGTGACAACAAGATCTCCAGCTGCTTGCGCTGCACGAGCATGTGAACTCGAAGGTACGCCTGCAGCGAGACCTACGAGGGTTGCAAAAGCGCCGAGAAGCATGATTGAAGGCGCCGAGTTCAGATCTACGGGTGAGCTGCTGCTGTCGATTGTGACCTTCGTGAGTAGGAGACAGAAGGATTAAATAACCCCGACATCGAGTCTCTCATCGTATCTCCATGTAGATTGTACAAACTAATCATCGCGACTGTTCCTGGCATGCTGTGGGTACACGTATACGTAACGCGAGTGGGTCAACACAGGGGTGCTCGGCTAAGGTTTGTTCCTTCGATAAACAGATCTCGGTGGTGGTATCGATCGGGACCCGATCCTGGTTCTCTATTTATTTGCTTCGGGTTACATCCGTCGTTCAGCAACAAAACTACAACGTAGTTAAATTACCCGCACTTGCGTACATCCTCCCGCAGCTTCCTAAAATTGCGTACCTGCCGTACGCGGCTAGCTAGCAATCCGAAAGAGTAATTTCGGAATCGGCCCGCGTGAATGCTGGTAGTTGAGAGCGGTAGTTCTGTTATGCTATAGTAGTAGACAAGAATGTGGTTGTACAGAACGCAACGCTTCATGATCTGTGCATGGCGCTCTCGGAAACATTTCCGATGGCTCTCCGCGTCAACTCTTCCTGGACTGTCCTCTTGAACTTCATAGTTAAAATATCCCCAAGAACACTGATATGCTCAACCACACATCATGATCGCTTCGACACAGCGCAGCGCGCAGCCACGCATCTCAGCTCAGCAAGTTGCCGCTGCTTCTCGGCACATGTCGACCACCTCCACGCCACGTGTGGCGGTGCTCTATCAAGAACTCGAGCCACCGTTGATCAACGGAGTGCGCAAGCCTAAGAAGTCTGGGGGTACGGAGTTGCGCATCTTGCGTGTGGGCATTCAACTATGACTGACAGCTGTACCAAGGATACAGAGATTCTGGAGCGGACATCGCATACGTGCTGAAACACCAGTGCGCGATAGATGTCATCACCCCAGTTTCCGCTCCCGACCCTGAAAGAGATGCAGACTGGTGTTTTGGAGATTCAGAACGTGGAATGATGGACGCGATCAAGAAGGGAGCAACACACTTCTGGGCGAACACCATACTCTTCGCGAATCATCCACTGCAAACATCGCCCAGTCTGACAAGTGTGGCTAAGACATTGAAGGTTGTTGGTCAGCCGCCCAAACTGGTCGAACAATACGATGACAAGTCTTTTGTCAACAATCTTCTCCGTGCTCGCGGCGGCTTTACGCTACCCGGCGCTCACGACGTTCACGACGAGCAAGCTCTTGCGGATATTCTTCGGGTTGATCTAAAATATCCTGTGGTCGCAAAGCCTGTCCGAGGCCGAGGTAGTTATGGCGTCAAGGTATGTCGTTCGCCAGAAGAACTGAACGAGCACTGCCGTGGTTTGTTGAAGGAGGAGACATCCGTGATCATCGAAGACTATCTTGCTGGGCAGGAAGCGACCGTCACCGTGATGCCGCCTTCGTCAGCCACAGGACAGAATGACTACTGGGCAATGCCAGTCGTGGAACGATTCAATCACGCTGACGGTCTGTTGGCCCCAAGTATCAAGCTGAAGGAATCTCTGCTGACTGTAGACAGGTGTGGCACCGTACAACGGCATTGTTGCTGTTCTTCAGAATTCACGATGTCTGTTTGAGAGTGAACATGAATCTGACCCACACTATAGTGAGATACAGTCTCAGTGCATTGAGGTAGCAAAACTACTCCAGTGTACTGCTCCAATGAGAATTGATGTTCGTCGATTCGAAGAGAATGAATCGTCACCATTCGCTTTGTTCGATGTCAACATGAAGCCGGTAAGTCAACACACGCTTGCTTTTTCTGACATGCTGACGCGTGGTCAGAACATGACAGGCCCTGGTAGACCCGGGAGGGAGCAGCAAGCTAGTCTGAGTGCATTGGCTGCTGCCGGTTTGGGGTGGGATTACCCAACTCTGCTGTTGAAGATACTCGAGTCGAACTGCTCGCTGCATGATCTGAGGGATGTCAAATTGTCGTCAGTCGTTCGTGCATAACTGTAGTGTGTATTTAATTCAATCACACAACTATGATGGTTTGTGTGGTGATGTCGGGAAACATTGCAGCTAACAATACATCAGAAGGTGCTTCGTGCCATTGGTCTTCTTCATCAACGTCCCAGGAGATACCCAACTCGAACCAACCAATACGCCGGAAAATCTTACATGAATCGCCGTAGTCTTTATCGCTTGCTGATGGCAGTGACTCGACAACCAGACAGACAAGATATCCCGCAGCGGCATCATCACTGCCTGTCATGCGAAGCGGAACAACATGGTAAACGCTCTTTGCCATGGCAGGGTCTTGCAACTCATCCCAGGAGAGTCTATAGCTCACCGAAGACACATGTTCGATGTCCAAGATCTCGAATCGCTCTCGCCTTTTGTTCTCCTCCGGCAAGGATACGCTGAACATCCAAGCACGAAACTTCAAAGCCCCGTCTTCTATGTTTCCATACGGATTACTGGGCTGAGATGGGGACATAGAAACGCCTTCGAAGTCTATCAGAGATTCTGTTGTGTCGTAGACATCTACATCAGGATACACGATCCCGTCCGGAACTGATGCCCAACTCCATGATGGCGCTATAGCGAGGTATCGTCTTCTTAGATCCATAGAGCAAGGATCTTTAGAGCGCCAAGAGAGGCATTCCACAAGATGTTCTCCCCATATGCCTGCAAAGTATGTGGGCCCGAACTGCTCCACTGGTACAGATCTTGCAATTGATGACAACGCTATCAAACGGTCTGTTAGCTGCGTAAAACCTGACATTGAGTAGGACTCAATGAAAAAAAGCCATTTTCTGAACGTCAGCAGAGAAGGATGTTCAAACCAATCATCATCGTCAGTTGCATCAAATGCTTGGCACTCCAACAAGACTCCCTCTTCGGTGAAATGTAGTATCCTTCGCGAGAGCAAGCGCTCTTGTGCAACCCAACCACGTCTATTCAAGCTGGACGCAAAGACTGAACCATAGTACACGTGGCTCGCCAACATGGAGGGCAAAAACATAGGCTGTGTTGCTCCGTCTTCTGTCTCTTGAGAAATACTGCATGGTGTAACGTACTCTGTCCCGGCTCGAGATAAAAAGCCTTCATCAGGATTGCTGGAGCAAGTAGCCGCAATGTTGCAGGTTGCATTTTCGTAGACAAGCCACATGCGTGGTCCTTCCGTGTTCCAATCGTTGAAATTGCCATGTGCACTAGGCTGTACTATACACATGGCATCGATCCAGATGAAGCGTATCTTCAAGGCACGGGCAACGATTATAGCATCCTTGAATGTCTGTGGTAGGCTTTCGAATAACGAAACTTTTTCCCCTGTAAATTCTGTGCTTAACATGCAGCCAGGTGGCCCCTTGCCCCAGCGATACGTTAAGGTACAGTAGTTGGACAGCTGATCGACCGTTGCGCGGGTCGTGCTGATCCATGCTTGCACGTCAAGCGTGAGAATATGATCGCCATGAGAGAGGTCGAGTAGACGGCGAGGAAGCTGTTCCACTTTGGCTGGTATGCCCCTTTTGACTGGTTCACAGTCATGGTGTTCATCCTTGTCGCCGAGCACGCAAGCTTCCAAAAGCTCACACGCATGCAGTACTGGGTTATAAGGAGTCTTCAGAGCCGGTATTGCTGCATGGAAAGCAACAGGCTTCATGTCGAGAGCACGACTCCATTGAAATGAAGGAATCTGTATGAAAGATATGTATCCATCTTCGTCATTAGGGCCGACCGAAAGAGCGATCTCGGTATGACAGTCTTGAAGCACGATTGCGGCCTCATCTTGCAGGTGTCGAAGGTTCGTTGAAGAAACCTTCTCCGGATATTTCCTAACAAATGTGCATAGCTCGCAACCAGTCGTCTCAGAGAGTCTGATCAACTCGGGTCCTGAGGGCCATGTACGAATTCGTATCATCGACTTATCTGGGACCTCTTTCGGAATCAGTGCTTTGCTACAATCGAGACATCGGGGCATCGCGAGGATTACGTGGGGGATGTGTTTCGATTGAGCTGGTACGACTGATACAGATGTTCCTTTGATTTACTGGAGGTTGACGCTTGTATGCTAACGGTCATTTGTTTTGTGCTTCAATGAATAGTAAGGCAATAAATCCGATGACTTGGGTGTTTCAAAAAATTAACGATCGGAGGGCAGTCATCGTAAAGAGGCGCGCTTGCAGGTGTGGATATGCGTACTCGCTCCCGAACGTGATGTGTGGCACATGAAGTAGAGGCCGATGGCAACCACCAATCAGTGACGGACCACAGCAAATCCGCGTAGCAGATGTGCAAACCGAAGATGAAAGATGCGAAATGAATGCTGAAGCGAATCGCCAGGAGGGAAGAACACCAAAGCAAGCCGAAGATGAGAAGGAAAGAGGTGAGGACTCAGCGGGGTAGACCACCAGGCTGAATTTGCCAAGCCTTCTTCACTGCGCCTCCACGGTCGACCGCCCAATCACGTGTACCAGCCAATCACAAACAAACTGGCAAGGATCGGCACTATTGAAATGTGTGATATAGAGACCCTTGAGTTACGGAGTGGTATTTTCCAAAAGTGGTACGTTGTGCTTCTCCGTAACCGTGGAAAGTGCGCGAGACATATGCTGACTCATTTGCAGCCATGTACACTATCGTGATAACCCCCTCTCACACACGACCATTCAACGTACTCCTCTTCAAGTGCCAATCTCCCACCTACCCATCATGAAAAAGCGCGATATTCGACCACGGCCAAGTCGCACGCATCCTCAACGCCATCAAACATCATGTAATCATCTTTGATTCACTACGTACTACGACTATCTAATGCTATCCTATGCTACCTAATCGTATACTGGTATCTATAATCACACAGGCACCACCACATTCCCACCCGACAATCGCTACACTCCTCTCTCTGTCTCCGCCCAAAACCTCTCCTCATTGCACAACGCCGTGAAAATGCCGAAAAAAAAAGATACGCTCTAGAAAAGAGGTCGTGATAAGTGAACGAAAAAAAAACCACGCCAATCCCCCCTCCCCAACCTAGAAAGATGAAAAAACCCCTTCATTGCCCGAAAAAAAAAAAGCCAGTACCATCTTGGACAAGTTACCTTGGAATCTCCAATCGTTCAGACTTGCCGCCTGGCAAGCACTCCTACCGCCTACGATAAATATCGTTATTATCCCTCTCTCTTTCTCTCCCACCACCACCACCCCCATCCCTCCTCCCATCCCCCCTCCTCTCCGGACTCCTACTCCTCGTCCTCCCATCCCTCCTCTCCCTCTCCCTCGCCGCAAACCCCCTCCCAGGACCATCCTGCCTCTCTCTATACGCGCCACGATTCCGCTGCTGCTGCTGATGATGATGATGATGATGAGGATCCGTATACCCACCACCTTCACGCGAGTTACCCGAGTCCCTCGAACCCCGTCTCGCATTCCTATCATCAGGTTCCCTACTCCGGCGTGGCGGGCCTTCAGCACCATAACTAGGGATATACGTATCGCCGCCATTGGCATTCGCAGCGATAGCAGCAGCACCAGCGGATTGATGAGGGGGTCCTCGTCTCCTGTCCACGCCATCAGGCCCATATCTCGGGACAGGAGGAAGCGGATGTCTGCCATCTGCCGGCGGCGCAGGCAGTCCATTATGTCCTCTCTCCGCACCATTGCCCCAATTTGGTCGTCTGTCACCACCCGGTGGTGGCGGCGGGGGTCTGTGTTCGTAGTTTCTTCTATCATAGCCACCTCTTGGTCCTCTGTTGTCGACGCCCGGTGGCCCGCGGTCCTGCGGCCCGCCATTGTATCGTCTATCGCCGTTTTGTTGCCACGATTGCGGGGGTGGCCCTTGGCCTGTCCACTCGCCGTTTGGTCCGCCGCCTACGGTGCCGCCTTGGGGTGCGGGTGGGAGTGCTTGTTTCTGGCCGCGCGCATTCCGTCGATCGAGTTCGTGCGAGTCGGCAAAGTGCGGGATGTCTTCTTCGCGCATGGGGAGCGGGGATTCGCGGAAGTAAGGGTGGTCGATTGCGTCGATGGCGTTGATTCTCTTGCGCCAGTCGAGGCGCATGAGGTCTTTTATTAGGGAGAGGCCGACGGGCGAGAGTTCGCGGAATCGCTGGGCAATGTTGCCGGTGCTGGGGGCGAAGGCGCGGATGGGGTCTGCGCCAGGGAGTTCGTGCCAGCCGGGCATGCTCGTGTCGTTTGGGGAGCCGACGAGCTCGAAGATGATTTGCGCTTGGTGAATGTCGCTCTGGCCGGCGAGGATGGGCTTGCGCTTGAACATCTCGCCAAAGACGCAGCCTGCGCCCCACATGTCAATGGCAGGGGTGTACTTCCTCAGCTGCAGGAGGAGCTCTGGTGGCCGGTACCATCTGGTAACGACCAGTGTAGTGTACTCGCGCTTGGCTTCGCCATTGCCCCTGCCCCGTTGCGGCACCGCTTCGTCGTAGTGGCGCGCGAGACCGAAATCTGCTATCTGTAGCCGTCCGCGGTTGTTGATGAGAAGGTTGGCGGCCTTCATGTCTCGATGTAGGATGTGGTTGTCGTGGAGATATCGCAGGCCCTTAAACAGTTGCAGCATGTAGCACTTGATCTGCGCTTCTTGGAACCGGACTTCGGGATTATCGAGCAGGCCTGACAGGTCGTGGTCCATGTAAGGCGTCACCATGTATAAGATGGCGCGTTTCCGGCCCTCAGCCTTGGGTCGCTCCACGGCCATCTCCTCGAGCTTGAGGACGTTTTCGTGCGACAGCATCTTCAGCAGCTTGATTTCTCGCAGCGCTGTGATGGGGAAGCCGTCCTTTTCGTTGTGCATCAAAATCTTCTTGAGCGCAAAGATGCTGCCAGTGGCCTTTTGCCGCGCCATATGGACTTCACCAAAAGTACCCTCTCCGAGTTTCTTCATCATTTCATAGTCGGCGATTTTGCTGCATCCCTTGAAGCGCCGCTGCAGGGTGCGCGATGGCGTTGCGCCCGCTGAGTTGGCCATATCGGCGATGGCGGTGACTAGTGTTGGT